ATCGAAAGAAAACTAATACTAAACTAATATAATCTCTACCAAAAGTGCCAAATCTCTAACTAAAAGGGACGCTTGTTTCGCACGATATCAAAAAGTGGGATTGATCACTAGTTCGATCCATACGGATTTGTTCGACCCCTCGACTGCTGGATATCGAACTAAAGTATCTGACAACAGTAATGGTAAACAATGGCTACCCCAAAAGGCACAGTAAAGCACAGTAAAACATGCCATCAATAAAGAGAAAGATAGACAAGAAATTAATAATACGCAAAAGAGCGTTCTCACCGTGCAACATACATTGAAACAGGATGGTCAGGACACAAGAAAGCTGGTATTTCAATACTAACTTTAATAGATACGTAAAACAATATGATCATAGTAAGCATTGCTCTTTAATTTGAACTGCAATACAAATGAATCTCACTCACAATTTGTTAAAAAGCGCTTTTCTATGTTTTACTGAACTCTTCGATTTAACAGAATTGGCGCACGATCTGGATTTATTAAAAAACAAAAGGGTTCACCTGAAAAACCTCCTGGATTCTCACTCAATCAATGTACGATACTGGTTTGATTTATTAATACAATTCCGGACTTTTGAAAGAAAATACCGATCATATCAGTTTCTACCAAACTTGGACCCGTTACTTCTAATTTTAATGCTTGCTACTGGAATGTATGAATGCCAAAATAATGATGAAATATATTGATTTATTAGAGCGTTTAATACTCATCGTTGAAAACACCAAAAATTTATCAGTTTTCTCTTGTATAAGTGAAGAAAACATTGATGGTGAAAGACTAGAACGTAACTTATGTTCTCAATTAACAATTCTAAGACGATTCAGTTTCTGTTTTGGTCAAACTCTATCCATGAATAACGATCGATACATAAGTGACAGATTTGCGCTACCAATTGATAAAAAGGGATCAGATTTTCAGTTGAAATCAGCGTCATTCACGCTGTATTACATGCACCGTATTATTATTGTTAGTTGCCAGTATTTGTGGTGATGACATCGGTGCTTATAAGGGTAAGAAAAAGGCTGGAATTAGATTTGCGTCCACATGAGATATCAATAAGATGGAACTATTTACATTTATTAAATGATTATTTATTGAAATGACAAGAGCAATGGTTTATGAGTGCGAAATATATGATTACTATTAGCTATCAGACATTAGGCAGATACTTTGTTTTCTTAGCTATCTATTTGCTAATCTAATTAGTCAGATCAACAATAATCTTTTTGTACTATTAGACCTGGCAACGTCAAAAATACATGGAAACCAGAGGTGGGCCGTTCCGATCATTTCTCGCTCCAGCTCCAGGTAATTACGCACCGCTCCACTCTGACTCCGCTCCAAACTCCAGTTTCACTGAAAAACAGTGAAGCGAAAGTCCGGTCTTGCGTTCGATGGGCGGCGTACTGCAGACATAACTTGGAATAGTTTTATATCGCACTTAACGTGTTCTACATTTACTCGGTAATATGCTATTCGATTACTGAAAGCCATTCGTTGGTAGGATAATCGTCCAGCATTACGCAGTTCATTCGAAAAAGACATCAAGAGTTCGTTTCTATTATTTCCGGAATTTGTGGTTTGTGTCAATGAGTGGTTTTCTGGATGTCCATCTGGGCAGATTTTTCGTGGTATTTTGACGAATGGTATTCGTCAGCCTGTGCTAATAAAACCACAAGATAAAGCAGATGCATTTGCTAGGGAACAGTCTGTAAAGACGGAATTAATGCAAATGTCGTGCCCTGTATTCTCCTCTCACACAATGTTTTTTTCGAACTTCACTCTTTTCCAATAGTCATGATAAATTTGGAGAAGTACATCCGATCTGCGGGCAGTGGACCATGACGGCGAGTCTTTAGACTGTCCACTTGCGACTTAGGTCGTATTATAGAAAAACAGTATTAAGAAAATTTTATTCAGGTATGAAAGCAGCAAATTGAATAAGAAAACACAAGAGTATGGGCTGCCTCTACAAAAATCACGATAGTTTTCTTGTCAGAATCAGATAAGAATTATAACGAATCGGAAAAGAATATAAGAGCTCATTATGTTAAGGGAAACCGTCAAAACTATGCATGAATCAATCGGATCAAACGAATCATTCGGATCATTTGTAGAATAATGTGAAGCACTTCTCTGTGATGTTTGTATAAGAGAGAAAATATATAAAGCATCACAAGGCGGAATACATTCCGGAATACCTTTACGCTAGTAATGGTAAAACATTTTTCTTGATGGTAATGGTAAAAAACTTTTTTATCAATGGTAATGAAAAAGTCATGGTAACAGGACCGTAGAATCCATATGTATATAGAATTAAAGAACCATTTAGAAAAGAGCGAAGATATGATATTACGAGCTCATCATATCCAAAATTATAAATAATTCTCACAGTATAGTATATTTAACATCAATTTCTTTGATTAATAACTTCTTTTTATTAACAATGACTCAGAAAACTATCATCGTTTATTGAATCTATATTGACTTGTTTACACTTCTTAGTATGACTACTTATAACTTTTGATATACAACATGAATTTCTTTCAAAATTTAGCATCATATATTATTATTGTAGTAGTCCAAAGTTACAATGAGAAAATAAAAAAAATGTCCTCTATCTTTTTTATTTAGACCAATTAAGTAACCGTGTTCCTTCGAGTTTTAATCCAATTTGTAGTTTGCTTTAAAGCGCTAAATATTATGAGCAGAAAAAGTGGATTCATAGTTAATCAACTATGGTGTATCCAATGGGTATATTCTCGAGATCTTCAGAGAGCCTTCATAGGTCATCAAAGGTTCTCCAGAAAAACGTTCAGGGTTAATTGAAATACGAAGTTCTAACAAAATATTCAATTTCCTATCTATGTTCGCTTACGAGCATCAAATCTCAATGTTGCTGAAAAGGTTCTTTTAGAGATTTAGGGGTTTTGGAAGTATAGATTTGCCACTGGATCTGCCATAGTTGATTTTATATAAAAACCCATTGTACGAGATTTATCCCAATATTTTCATCCCACCATTTTTGAAAAAGTTACCCGTATATTACATAAAGATTCTCTGACGACGTCGAGGATGGGTTCATTAGATGCAGGATAGTCGATTACCGATGAATTCACATTGTTTGTGAACAATATTCCAAGTTTAGAACCAATAAAAAATTAGCAAATTTGATTTAATGAATCTGATGAATTTATTTTTTTTTATTATTTTTCCTACTAATAGAAAAACATTTTGTTCTCCGCAATCGTTACTTTATCGAGCCACAGGCATATATTATGAAATATGTTTTACTTTAATAACTTAATAAGCCAAAGATATTTTATAAGACTTTTAAATTTTTAAAAATAAAGTTTAAAAATTATATTTTATAATATAAGTAAGCAGACCACCACCATAGCATACTACCATAGTTATTTGCACCAAATTGCAGAAAAATTCGCTTTTGTTTTGTGTAAAATTTATAAACTGCTTTTCTTTCTTTCGATAAAATTGCTCTTTCTATTCCCTCCTTCTTTACGGCGTGCGTGCTACACCAAAAGAATTTTTTTCATTTTTTTATTTGTTCCTTTTAGATTTGGCTTTAATCCTCTCGTTTTTATATTTTTCCTTTATTAGTCAAAATTAATGTAGTCTGCATAGGCTGGTTTTTTTCTGCCATGTATTGGTTTCAGAATCGATTTTCATTATTCCGGATTTGACGATGCTTTTCCTATTAACGATGGAAATCCTATTAACAAAAAGCCTTTGGATTTTCTCGATCTTATGATCACTTTTAGCGGACAAGATTAATCGTATCCAAGCTCAGATTTTGAGTTTTGTGAGTGAATAGTGAATTTTTTAATATTAGGTGAAAAGAGCCTGAAAACCTTCTTGAAAACCGGCAAAACGCAAACAAAATGATCGACTGTTTTGTCTAAAATTTAGGACGAAAACTTTTTTTTCAAAACGCGTCGAACTGTATATCATTCGATGCAGTTTTTTTCGTAGATTCCGAATATCCCATTGGTTCTGCATAAAAATCCTTTTGGACGTTTAAAACTTAAGCTTTTTACTTTTTCCGTTCTGCATAAATAGCTTCGTGTTCACTGTAAAAAAGAGAAAATATGTTTTTCTCTTTTCTCCCTTCATCCGTACTTGATACAGATGAGCACCTGTTGAAACAGTGCCCATTAAAATCGCCAACAAAGGTTATAGAGTCGTATTCAGGAGAAGTTGACTTATGTATAATTTCTAGTGAATTACTTAGATGCTCTGTAAAATCTAACATATTGACCCAGTCAGGACGATACCCAACAGAGATCAGGTAAATATTCAAAGATGTTGTTTTTAGTTTTAGAAAACATGTTTTAAAGTTAGGATTATCGAACAAAGGTAAGCTTTTTACGACAGTAATTTTCCGTATAAATACTAATATGCCTCCAGCGCGCTTGTGACTTCTATCTTTACGTAAAAACAAATCGTAGTCTCTTATGTATAACTGTGCTATGTCATGAGAAGCAGTTATCCAAGTTTCAACTATAGCGATCAGAATTAGTTGTAATCTAGCTGCATGTAATCGAAGTAGTTGGATTTTACTCACTACCTCATTCACATCAGATAAGATACTGCGTGCATTCAAAAATAAAATGTTTTCACCATGATGTGCAGTAGTACTTGTGATAACCTTTTTTCTCTTAGCTATATTCGCAATACGACAAGAGAAGGAACACTGTAGTAGACACGACATGAGGCATTGACAGATAGAGATTCATTGGACTGAAAAAAAGCAGCAAGTGAGAATCGATGGCGGAAAGAATGAAATGAGTGAAACTTAAGTGGACACATTTACGTCTTCTTTCTGTATATGACAAAATGATAAAGATGAAGAAAAAGAAAGAACACATATTGTCGATCATAAAGATACACAGCCTGCTTTTGATTAAGAAACTTGAATAGCGGGAAATAAAAGAAAACAAACTTGTACAACCTGTCTAATCAAAAGCCATGGTTTTTGCTCCTAATGGATATAGAAATGGTTCAATGCCTTCAAATGAAGTTAAATTCTCTAAAGTTAAATAAAATTCTCTAAAGTTAAATTCTCTAAATTCTTCTAAAGGTTTTCAGGCTCTTTTCACCTAATATTAAAAAATTCACTATTCACTCACAAAACTCAAAATCTGAGCTTGGATACGATTAATCTTGTCCGCTAAAAGTGATCATAAGATCGAGAAAATCCAAAGGCTTTTTGTTAATAGGATTTCCAGAGTCCCTTTCGCAAAACCTGAGGATTTTGTAATATGTGTTTCGAAATCTGCTTTGAATAGGATATAGAATAGCTTAAATACTCTACATTCTGAAGTTTTGAACTCGTTCTGATGTTTTGTGAATTTTTTAATATTAGGTGAAAAGAGGCTGAAGTCCGATACAACGCTCGAACCGTAGAAAATCAAGGTCTCACTTTACCCCCATTTTGGAAATGGCACCCCGAGCTATCAGCCCATGAGAAAAAAGCAATACAATCCTATTGGAAAATCTTTATAGACGGCCTAGTTTGGCGCCCTTATGAAAAAGAAGATTGGTGTTATGAATTATTTGAATGCCTTGAGGATGACAAGTGTGTTGACGGGCCAATGAAAGAAGATCTGAGAGAACATTTAAAGTTGTATGATAGTGCGGATGATGATGATGATTGACTGTTTGAGAGAGCCTTTGTTTCAGCCTTAGAAAAATGGTAGCTTGCGTTGTTAGACTAAGATACATAACATTACAGAATAGATCGATCTTCATTTCAATTTTGTTGGAGTAAGCTGTGACTGTCACAAATCAAAAAGAAATATATATAGAAATTTGAGCAAAAAATCTCATAACTACATAATTTAAAACTGTTTGTAATAAAAAGTTAACTGCAGAACGGACGTGTTTTTTCTCGTTGCCGAAAACAGAATATAATTCGTCTTGAATTAGTGCCAATTACACACGCAAAACAAATCAAAAGTTCAAACAATATTTCTCCAGAGAAGTAGTCAATCGTCGTCATCATCCGCACTACCATACAACTTTAAATGTTCTCTCAGATCTTCTTTCATTGGCCCGTCAACACACTTGTCATCCTCAAGAGGCATTCAAATAATTCATAACACCAATCTTCTTTTTCATAAGGGCGCCATTGTTCACTTGGAAGAAGGTCGATTGTTGGTGAACGATAACGAAGACCATAACCAAATTTCTTTAGTCCATTATGTATACGAACATCATGTCTGATATCATCAGGCAGTTTGATATTGCCAAGACGTCGTTCAATTTTTGTCAACTGATGTTCATCTACACCTGTCGCTTTGAGATTTTGATCTTTCGGTGTTGATTCAAAATGATCATTAACTTTCTTCCAGAGTTTTTCGTATTCTTTTGATTGAACAGGTGAAACATCTGTTGTGTTATTTTTCCGTTTTTTTGTCCTCTTCTTCTCATTTTTTGCTTCTGAGTTAGATGATTTTCGTTTCAATGACGCACTCAGCTTAACCGTAACTTCTCAAAAGAGATACAAAGCTGTCCTAATTGACTATGCAAAATCAAACAACATCAGAAGGGGGCGGTGAAACTGAGTGTGAGTTTACGAAAAAAAGCATCCCTTTTGAGACGTAGCCATTTTAACAGCAGTGCTCTCAAAAAAAAGGTACTCTACAGAACCTAAAAAGGGTTTAAACTTTTGTCACCATCTTGCAACCGGAGTTTTTCGAAAAAACTTGCGAGAAAAGTCGAAAAGCTCGCCATTTTTTAGTTTTTGATTAATAAAATCGACAATTTTCATTCAAAGCTTTTGATGAATATCTCATTCGAAAGAGCAGAAAAAACTAAACAAAATCTCATATTCGGAAAATTTTAGATTCAAAATAGTAGTCAGAATAATGGATTTTTGCAAAGTATTATTATTATTGTTATTTGAAAAGACATGATCGTCTTCACTCATTCTGGGTAAGTAATCAATCTATATTCAAAAGATAGCGCACGTCGAGTATGATCGAATACAGGTATAGTTAAATCTTGAAATTGAGCACAAATGGTATTTTAGATCAAATCATTCCTGGAGTGAAATGCAACTTTTTGTAGATTGATGTTGGTAATATAGTCATTTTTCTGCCATGACGAAAAATTAAGCATTTTTTGAAAACATACCATTGAATAGCCCTTGAAATTCTCTACAACGTGAGCTGGTCAGAATATCCAGACAGATGGGACCAGTTGTCAAAGATAAGTAAAAGAAGCGTTTGGGTGTTATCTATGCAATACAGTGTGTCATAATCACAAGAACTCCTTTGTTTTTTATTTATTAGTAAAAGCTGGAACAAATCTGAATATTGTTTCGAATAGCCCGAAGATGTTTCTATCAGATGAGGTGCATATCGATGTTTCATGAGAAAATTTGATAATAGGATTTCTGAAAAACCTGAAGGCTAGAAAACCAAGTCCTTGGTATTTGGTCAGAAAATTTTTCGAACCATACACGAGAAAACGGCTTTGCAATTTTTGCTTTGTCCTTGAAAAAATGAAAGCCGAATATCGTGCCGATGTTTTAAAAAAATGGACGATACAGTTTCAGATTCAGAATTCGGACGGACTTTCGAATGAGCTATGTCTAGGAGACTGCGTCAGATCTCACTTTAAAGATGTGGTTTCACCGTCTGAACTGGCCTGCGCGAGTATGGGTGTGGGTGGATGACTATATTCATGTTAAAGCAGGTGTTCATATATTGTCACACTGAGGCACAACGTTTGAATTTTTTTTGGCCACTAGAGTTAAGTTTTTCGAAAAAATCAAACGGCTAAAATACTCAGAATTTTACGTTTATTGCGAATATGTGACTTTCATGGTTCGTATTAGGGCGCCGAAATCATCGCTTATCCACCCACGTCCTTTTCGCTCGTGTACACTTTGTAAGAAAGTTTTCCAAGCTAGCCGTATACTCTTGAGAAAAGAATGTGCTTACAAAGAAAGAGATTCTTTTATTGTTTAATCAGCTTGTTTTGTATATGTGCCTAGAACTGAGAAAAAAAACCGAAGAAAATTGTTAACATTCAGAAGTGTCACTGTAGGCTCAGAGATGGGCGAATCAAGCCACTTTCCGAGTCCGAGTCATTTCGTAGCGGCTTCGAGTCGAGTCACCAGTGTTTCCGAGTCACGTTGAATAGAGTCAAGATATTTTTGCCATTTTTTTCTAGTTTCTTACGTACAAAAACAAGAACAGTCCTACATAAAATAAAATGACACAACTACTATAGAAGAACAGTAAAATCAAATCTTTTCTTTTATACAGTTACACAACACAGTAAAAAAAGCATCATTTTTTTATAAACAAAAACTTAAACTTAAAGTTGTTTACCGGCAACAATTATTTATTAATATTTAAATTAATGTCTTATTGCACTTTAAAGAGGTTAAAATGCAAACATTAGCTTGTGAAAATTTTAAACGATGCGGTCTCATTAGAAGAGCGCTTTGAGAAAACACACGTTCAACTGGCGCTGATGTAGCAGGAACACACATAATTTTTCTAGCAAGTTTATTAAGAGATTGATATGAATTTGCTTTTTGAAAAATAAGATCACTAGTCATATTTTCTTCCTTCAGAAAACCATAAAGTTAAAGAATTTTTTTCGAATCAATGACTCAAGTCAAACAGTCTAGTCAACGTCTTCCAATTTTCGAGTCCGAGTCAAATCGGAGTCATTAAAAAAATGCGAGTCGAGTCCGAGTCATGACTCGGACTCATCCATCACTGTGTAGGATATTGCTCAGCATTGAGCGAGACGACACTTTTGCGGAATTTTAATTCAAAACTATTTAGGCACGAGTTAGAGATGTGGGAAAACGCTTTAATTTTTCGAAGCTCGAGACGAGAGTAACGTACTACACAACGCAGTCGAAACGGGATCGTTGTATGACATCTACTCTCATCATTACTGTAATCGTAATCCAGAAATCTAAGGGAAAGATAGTTTTTATTATTCTTTTTATATTGCTATAAAAAATGATAATAATTAGAAATGACTATGTACTTAGTTTATTCTGAAGAAAGTTTATCTTTTATTAAAAATTTTTATTCAATTTAAAATAATGTAAGTATTATTTTCTGGATTTAGAAAATCTCAAAATTTTCTATAAATAATCAAAATCACTAATAAACATTATTGTTTAAAGAATAAGTAAAAACGTATAATAGAATATTGTGTAAGTTTTGTTGAATTATTAAGATTTCGAATTATTAATGATCATTTGATGAATTATACATGTCACCCTTGATTTTAAGAAACATAATACAACTATGAAAACGAAAGAATATAGTTGGAGGTACCAAAAAGTTGGCTATATTTTTCCATCGGTGTTCACCGTAATAGTTGCTTTGAATTTTATTTGTTCCATATTCTTTAGCGCTAAATGTATCAAATAACCATATTGCAAAACTTAACATTATCCAAATATTAATATATTCTGAATCTAATCTTGGTTTACCCATACAATTACAAAAAATAATAATTGATTGTAATACTGACTGTAATATTGGTATAATTGAAGCTATTATTGTTAGAATTTCTGTCAAATGTTTTGGTGAAGAGTTTGAAGAGCCATGGAGAGTAAAACCACAATATATAATCAAAACCAAATTTGCTAATACAAAAAAAATTAAATCAATACCTAGTTCTTTTTTTCTTTCCGGACATGAGAAATGCTCAAATCGAAAACACCTAAAGCATGATAGAAACGTAGGGAATAAAATAATAAGTACAACTACTACTTCACACCATTCACTAATCAGAACAGTTAAGGTGCCGGAACAGCAAAACTGTAGCAGTCTTTTTTTTGTCGATATTATTACATAGAAAGATGCGCCTTGTCGTGCTGATTCTAGAACTGTGTCGGGTGTGGAGATATCTTCTTGTTTCCGGTCAGGCGAGGCAAAAAACTGAAGAAAATGCTTTTTGAAGAAAGAGAGCTTTCAAGAGGAAAAAAGCCTGCCATTTCTAAACGATAAGAGATGGAGGTCTGGATCAATTTTTTTCGGAATC